TGTAGAGGCCCAGAGGTCAAGCACCTCACCTAAAATAGTGCTTTGGGTCTCCATGTGTAGAGACAAGAGTATGTCACACACACTGTCTCCAACCAATCCAAGGCTGTGCAGCAGAACTTTCAAATCCAGGTTGTCCGGAATGCTCTCATCGCCTTCTCCTGAAATGTAGACTTCGAGTCCACGATTCCTCATAGCTCTGGATATTTCTCCATGAACAGGATCCATTGAAAGAAAAAGCCTAGTAAGATGGCAATTCAGAGGAAAAGAAAATATTTTAAATCCCAGTGCAACTCATTTTGTAGCTCAGCAATAACTTGTAAGGACAAAGCCTATGTGGTCATCTCTAGGGAGTTCATATAGAAAGACACCACTAATAAAGCAAGGTACCATACCATCTCCTGCATTATTCTATATTCTTCTTCCAACAAGTATCAACATTGCAAATCAGTTTTTCAAAACCTACTTTCCGAAATTTCCCAAATCAAGCAGTGACAATTCATCATTCTAACTCACAGAGAGCAGAAAAAGAAACTGTGTTCTCCTGTAATAATTTCTTACATTCAATGTCCATCAACATCCCATCTAGCCATCTGTCATCTCATACTTATGTTCAAGAAAGAACAGCTGATTCCCTGTTGACCCTCCCCATCCCAAACCTGCTCATTGCCAGTATTCCCTTGCTCAATGAAACACTCTCATTTACCTAATTACATAATACAAACACTTCAGTGCCTTCATTGTTTCATTTTCTCAACTTGCAACTCTAATAGCAAGTCCCATTCATCTGATTACCCTTGTCTAAGTCATGATTGCCTCCTGCCTGGACTACTGCAAAAGGATTGTGACTGGTCTCCCAACTTCCACCCTTTCACCAACCCAAGGGAAGGACCTTACCTCTCATTTACTACTGTGCCCCCAGAGACTAGTAGTGCCTGACAAACAGCAGAACCTCAATAAATATGTTTCAACCAAATGAATGAATGGATAACTCAGTGTAAGTATAATATATAATGCGATCCTACTCTATGTCTACCTCTGCTACCAAGACTGCCAGATTCTTAGGCAGAAAAATTAGAGATACAAATACCTGAAATTGGGATTGGGTGTTATTGTGGGAGTGGATCCATCTATCATTCCTCTTTCACTAATGTTGAGGACGCCTCCAGGTTCAAGCAAAGCATTCAAACGATCCAGCACTGATGGGCTGCACAGAAAGAACTCAGATGTTAGACGTACATACAAGCTACTGTGACTCTATTTTCCAACTGCTTCTGACCTGCATATTCCTTTTAATAGGGATCATTCCCCATAAAGAACTCTGAAGTTTAGATTTCCCACTGATTCCCCCTTCTCATTCTCTAAGGCACATAGCCTAGAGCCTCATTCACACTAAATAAAACATTTGTAAAATACTTAGTGAAATTAAGGAAAATGATAGTAAGCGCCCTGTACTATATGCCTTTCTCTTCCTCTACCCCAATATTATCAAATCCACTTAAAGGTATCTGGATTTCAACATAAAACTCAGAAAGAAGCATTAAGGGAAGGGACAGGGATGTGGTTCAGTGGTACAGTACTTGCCTAGCATGTGTAAGGTGCTGGATTCAATCCCTAGCATCACAAAAAACAAAATAAAACAAAAGCTTTGGGAGAGCTTCTGTTTTGCTAATTGTATATGTACAGTAGCTTCACACTTGTCATTTTCCTTACTTTAGGATCAAAAGTGACATATGGTTGAACTGTCATTATCAGTGCATGTTTGCTACATTTCAAAAACCTGCATTTAAGACTGCTCCTAAAAAAATAGACTGGTCTTAACAGAGCCAGATGTAGTGGTGTATGACTGTAATCCCAGAGGCTGAGGCAGGAAGATGTCAAGTTCGAAGCCAGCTTCAGCAACTTAGGGAGACACTATCTCAAAAAATAAAAAGGGTTGAAAATGTGACTCAGTGGTTAAATGCCCCTGGATTAAATCCCTGGTACCAAAAAAAAAAAAAAGGCTCAACTCAAAAGAATTGTTATGTGGAAAAGCAATTTAATTTTGTTAATCTTTACTTCA